TGTGATGCTGCTGCTGCTGCTGCTGCGCCCCACCCACTGCAGCAAAGCCCACTCTTCCTCACACATATCAACAGCAGCAGCAGCAAAAAGCTCATGCCAATCAAACCTCCGGCCCCATCCCAAATGCCCAAAAACCCCGGGGCCCTCGTCTGTGTCTGTGGGGGCCCTGGGGCCCCTGGGGGGCCCCCTAGGGGGGGCCCCCTTGGGGGGGGCCCCCCTTCGGCGGGCCCCCTCTGGGGGGGCCCCCTCGTGGGGGGCCCCCCTGGAGAGGGGCCCCTGAGATCCCCTGAGAGGGCCCTTTGAAGGGTACCGGCGGCAGCAGGGGCCCTCGCTGCTGCTGGGCAAAGAACCAGTTGCTGCTGCCTCCTGCGGAGAACGCACAGCAGCAGCAGCACTAACATCACTGCAGCAGCAGCAGCAGCAGCAGCAGCAGGCGGCGGCGCGGATCGCAGCCGTTTTTCTGTTTAAAGACAAAAGCAACAAAGAAAAGCTGGGAAGCAAATGCGAAATGAGAGGCGCAGGCAACAGCGGCAGCAGCAGCAGCAGCAGCAGCAGCATATTAGGAAATACCAACTCACTCACCCCCCACCGGCGCCTTCTTTCTACGGGGGCCCCTTGTTCAGGGGGCCCCTTAATGGGGGCCCCCTCACTGGGGGCCCCCTTAATTGGGGGCCCCTGATTGGAAGCCCCCTGAATGAGGGCCCCCTGAATGGGGGCCCCCTGAATGGGGGCTCCCATTAAGGGGGCCCCCAGGTTAAGGGCCCCATTGGGGGGCCCCCCACTAGGGTCTTCTGCAGCGCTTGCAGCTTCTTCAGGGCCCACCTCTAGGGGGGCCCCCCTGGGGGGCCCCTCACAAGAGGCCCTGGGGCCCCCTTTGTGGGGCCCCACATCCTTAGGGGCTCCCAAATTCAAAAGTCCTCTTTTTGGGTACTCTTTAGTCATGGGGGGCCCCTCAGAAAGGGCCCCATCCTTCGGGGGCCCCCCATTTAGGGGGGCCCCCTCGTCAGGGGCCCCCAGAGCTTGCGGCTTCTCCTTTGCTGCTGCTGCTGCTGCTGCTGTTGCAGTTTGCTGCCCTGCTGCAGTCGGTTGCAGCACAAGGAGACACAAAGCCACAGAAGATAAATGGAAACGGAGTGGCCACACAAAAAGAACAGCAGCACCAGAAGCAGCTGCTGCTGCTGCAGCAGCACTGGAAGCAGCAGCAGCAGCAAAGGCATAGCAGCAAAAGCGACACCACAACAGCAACCGCAGAACACCAGCAACAGCAGGCCAGCAGCAGCTGCAGCGACAGCAGCAGCAACAACAGGACCACAGCAGCAACAGCAGCAATAAGGCACGAGGAGCAGAACAGCAGCAGAAGAGCTGCAGCTGCTGCAAAACAGTCGCAGCCGCAGAAGAGGAGCACAAGAGCAGCAACACAGCAGCAGCAGCAGCAGCAGGGCCCCACCGCGTTTGCTGCTGGGGAGGGTTCGGCGCTGCTTGGCTGGGGTTTTGAGCAGCAGCTCTTCTGCTGTGAGGGCCCCGCTGCAGTGGTAGCCCCAGCAAACGAAGGGTTTAGGGTTTCGTTCTTGCTGCTTCCTCTCCTGCGTCCCCAAACCCCAAACCCAAACCCCAAACCCCAAACCCTAAACCCTAAACCCCAGCCCCCAAGCGCTAAGCCCTAAACCCTCGCCCCCTCTCAGCGCGCCCGGACCCGCACGCGCGCCACCCCCTCCCCGCCTCCCCCGCGGCCCCGGGGCGCGCGCCCGGGGCCTAGGGTTTAGGGTTTAGGGTTTAGGGTTTACGCGGAGGAGGCTTTTCAGCGTGGCTTTGAGCGGCGCGCTGTGGGGCCCGCACAGCAAAGCCTCCACGCAGCAAGGACACAGCCGCGCGAAGCAGCTGCCTGCGCAGTTGCTGCTCTCGGCCTTCGTCAAAAAGGACAAGTTGAGGCCCCAGTGCAGCTGCGCAGAGCGCTGCACCACCACGTCCCCCATGCACTGCGCTGCTGCCAGCAGCTGCAGCAGCAGCAGCAGCAGCAGCAGCAGCAG